AGCTTGTATAAAAAATATTCATAAAAATCATTATTTATTATTCTTTAATATTCATATTGTCAAATTTATTTCATAATTCAAAAATTTCAATAATGAGATAAAAATTCAGTATGTTTTTACGGTATCTCCTATGTTCCTAAAAAAAGTATCGACAAAACAAATTTCGTTTTTTTTGACGCAATTTTGTGGCATTCTGAGTATGTTTTAAATAAATAATAATTGATTAAGAAATTTTGAAAAAATATTAAAAAATTTCTTTTTTATTCATTTGGCCCTTTATCTAACTTTTTTGTCCTATCGAACACCCAATGAAGTACATGCAGAAAAGGCCCTTTATTTAAACGTACAATTTCGCGTTTTCAATTTGAACTTCATAAGGGAGAGTAAACGGAGCATCGAAAAGTCGCTTTGCACGTGCTTGCAAAGCTGCGCACTTAGGGATTAAAATTTGCTCTTCGCAGCTTAGATTAGTGTCATCGTCGACTACTCGAGTTCACTTTTGTTTTTTCATTTTCCTTTTCAATTTCCGGTTGCGTTCGAATTAGCGTTACTCGCAGACGGAAATTTTAAAAGCGCGTCGCCGGTCACGCTTTCCATGCCATCCATCGCTCTGATTGTCTACCCCCGAGTAAGATTCTTGCCCGCGTTTTTTTTTTTGTACGGCCTCTTCCGCGAGACAAGCTGTGTTTAGCCACGCTCCGCGGAGTCAGACGTAATTTCGTCGTCTCGTCATAAAGCGGGAGCTTCGGTGTGGCGGTTGTTATTACCCGACGCCGCCATGGAGAACGAGATTTCTGTTTTCGCACGACGAATGCTCGTCGCGCTTGAAATTACGACGATGGTTCTAAAAGCATATCATGTTACTCTTCATACAAAGCATGTGTAAGTGCTTGTTTGGAAAATGTTATCGCATAGTTCACGTCAGAAAATTTCAGCTAGAGTAGGATTGATAAAGAAAATAGTTGATCAAAAATCATAGCTATTTAAATTGTTATTGAAAAATCGATCAGAAAGTAGACAGTTATACTTTTCGAAGAGTTATCATGTATAAACTAACATCTTTTCTCGCAAATTTTAATTTTTATAAACATGGATGTTTTAATATCTTAAGTCTTCGATAAATATATTCGTCTCGTTCCTCCTTTTTCGTCCGTTTTTGACATGATAAAAAAACTCAGTCATTAATTTTTATAAAATAACTTAATATCCAAATTCAAAGGTCTAAATAAGAATATCAAAGATATCAAATAATTTTAAAACTTTTCAGCAGTATATATTAATAAATTATTTTGGAATGTCTACGCGCCTGCTTCGAATATTTCGAATACTTCGAAGTGAGAATATCGCGTTCATTGTCGGTGTGGAGGTTTCTAAAAAATGATCAAACTCACGAGGACCGTACAAAGGATATATCCAAGCGCTACCATAAAGAAAATGGGATACGAGAATCCGTCCTCTTGATAGAATACACTAAGCTCCTTTGGCGTACGCGATGAGATGTCTGCGCGGCATATATAGCGCGACGCTCCGGATGTGCCGAGAATGCGAGACGCGTGAAAAGGAACGCAATTGAATCGACGAACGTACAAAGAGGGAAGAAAAAGAGTAACGATTCACTCGGGCTGAAAATTAAATGGAAACGGAATTGAAAGTGATGCACAAGCGTCGCACTGCATACGTTCCACGGTTCTGGATGCAAAGAGCTCTTTGCCTCGGGAAATGGTCGACTTCTGCGCGACGAAAAATAATCGAGACGACCGACCCTCGGCAGCGTGAAATCAATCTTTCTCTAAACTTTCCCTTATATGCGCGACGCTTCTACAGCTGGAATTCTTTTCCAAATACATTTTCACTGCTGCATCAATATGTAATTATCTCTTTCACGTAACTATACGTGATAGCAATTACGCGCGTGTTCAGATTAAAAAAAAAAGAAAGCGAAATATTGAAGAGAGAGAGAGAGAGAGAGAGAAAAAAAATAAAATTCGGGTAGCTCTTCGTGGAAAATCTAAAATTTCCGAAGGACAGCGAAATCGTAATTTTAAGGTCACAAGTGATCGATATCTTCGATTCAGGAAAGAAGAAAATAAATAAATAGAATCTCGTAATAAAAAACATCTGCATCGAAAGAATTGTATGGCCGCATGCTGCGTAAAACGCGCGAAGGTCGATGCCTGTAATTTCATCAACGACAACTTTATTTCCCTAACGTAATCAGTCTCCTCACCCGCGAACGCCGACGCACTTCGCGAAATCTGGGATATCATCAGCAGCAGACATTGCATTTCCCGCTGCATTCGAGTGTGCATATTCGATTAGCAAGATTCCAACATTTTGCGCCACGTCGACGATATTTCATCGGTCTACAACTAACGGTATTTCGTTCATTTAGCGATTCTACGATTTGCATGCATATACGACGCGAAAAGAAGGCGGTCAAAATCGAGATGATTGTCATGTTTGCTTCGTCTTATATATTTTATATTTTTTTATTTTCAGTCGTTCACATTTTATCATGTTAAGCGATACATTGTGGAATAAGGAATCCCTGTGAAACAAGCTACCGACTTATTTAGTGGGATAATGTTTCCTAATAGATCTCGCACATTGATAAAGCTTAATAATTGTAGCGATCCGCGGTATGAATCACGTTACTATGGAACATTTCGCACAAGGGGGTACGCAAAAGTGACCTTCGGCTCTAATAAGATTTTATTGCGTGCTACGCCGCGAAAGAAATTGCGACTGGGCAATCAGTCCAGTTCTAAGCTTTGCGACCCGAATAAATCGTTGTGCAGAAACGCATATGGGAAAACCACCTTGAAGTTAAAGTAAGAACGTACGTATACGCGGAAAGATTGATGAAAAATCAAGAACTAATCAAACCGGAACCACATTTCCTTGCACTCTTAACATATATTTACCCATTACCGAAATACTTATCAAAATTGACTTTTATTTTATAAAAATCAAATCAGATAGCTATATTATATATTTATATATTTATATATATTTTATATATTTATATATTTATATATAATTATAATTTTAATAAATTAAATAAATATGTGTATCTTGTTCTTATTACCTTTTCGTTATAACTTTATAAAAATAAGATCCTTCTAAATGGAAATACGTAACAATTCTACTTTAAAGTGCGAAACATTATGTTGCTTCGTGTCTAGCCAGAGATATGTATGCGAAGAGACTGGCTGTCTTGCAATTTTTATTTGCCGTTGCACCGCCGAGTTTCTACCTGCAGCAACAACTGTCACATGCGAGCGTTGCAGCAACAATTCTCTCAGAAGTTCGTGTTTCCCGTCGAGATGCGACTGGCGCGAGCTCTAAATTTCCAGAGGTTCATGAATTTTTGATGCCGCGCTGCTTTCGAGACTTGAAAAATTTAGGCCTTCGAATCGGCCGTGTCCGATGGCAAAATAACCGTTACAAAACTTGTTCGACAGTGATCTAACAATATCCTGACATCTCACACTAAATTACATTGTTAATCCGTCTATCTCTCGAAGTCGAGCAATCGATAATTTTCGTTACTTTCACGACATATCTATACATATAGCTTCTCACGATTCTCCCAAGTCTAAGATCAGAAAATAAAGAGTCCATTCTCCGTGCTGAAGATTTGTTATCAGACGATTCAAAGTGACTTCTCGATCTCTCGGCGAATGCGGAAACTTGTAGCATTCGCGACGTGCGCGATCGACCCACGCAATAATCTGATAGAGTCGTATTAGCCTGAATTCCGACAATCCAGTTAGTCTACCCTACTCCTCGCCCTGGCTGATCCAGCCTCGTCCTGAATTCGAGGCAATTGGCACGAACTGGCACGTTCGCGACGATAAAATAACATAGGCCGATAGATTTCCTAAGACGGTATAGTCAGGTACTGTACAATGAACTCGCAAAATAGGCGAGGTATCCCATACATTCGCTATTACGATCAGCTGAATCAGTTATCGATATATCAAGCATTTAATATACATTTGATTGGCATATCACTTGTATTACAGAAGATTTACGAAGATTTAAGTAAATTATGAAATAAAGTTAGAATAAATAATCGTCAAAAATAGTGAAAACGACATTGAATAAGGCAAACGGCAGTAAGTCATTCGCCAACCTCACACATTCTAACATTGATTATTGCAGATGTAATTTTACTGGCGACGCGTAATTCTCGCAAAAAGTGGATCGTACCACTTAGCTGTAATTTTGACAGAACATCTATAAAAAAGTGTAATGGCATCGCGTGACACGACAATAATGACTGGCGATGTTGGAAAGAAGCACAGAGCATCTTTTCTCTCTCGGGGAGCATTTTAGCGGTTATTCCGCTCTTCGAGGCTCATCGAAATTGCCGGCGCATTTATCGTCGCGCGGACGAAGGGATAGGTAAGTGCACGCAAGAAACGATCACGAGACACCGCAAGGACTCTGGAAACACGTGAAACGAGTTTCGGTGATCACGCGACAGTATTTACACAGAATAGTTTACTTTGTCTTCAGAAGCGCGTCGATGTATTTGCGATAACGATGAAGTAAACAATGGGAAAAGTTATTTTCATTCTTTAAAAGATTGAATTCTGAAGTAAACTCTGATGTAAAGACTATTATAAGAATTATATTAAAGGAAACAATAGGCATTTTAAATAAACTTAGCAAACTAATAAGAATATATAAACGCAGGTAAATTAAAAATTAAATCTTTAAATTAAAATTTTTAATTAACAAATAATTTTAAATTAAAAATTTTAATTTAAAGATTAATTTTAAATAAATAATAATTCAAGGCAATTCATTAAGCAAAATAAAAAAGTAACTTGAACCAATTTATAATCAATTTTTTCTTAATCAATTCAGATTAATCGATTAATGACAGAAATTTATGATAATCGTAGACTTTTCTTATCTCAATTAATTTGAGAAACGTTAATCTACACAAAATTTCCTTTAATAGACGAACAATGTCGAAATCGACTCACCGAGCATCTTGATACCTTGGACCGGACTCAGAGGGTAGAAATCCCCGTGGAGCGGGCAGTGGAAGCCCACCCTGCGCTCTCTCCGCCTCGCCCGTCTCGTGAGCATGCAGAGTAGCACGCCGAGCGCGAGCATAAGGGCGCCCACGACTATGCAGATCGGCCCCAAGATACGGGAATTGCCGGTAAAGGCGATTCGTGCGGCGTACGAGTTCTTGTCCTCGTCCTCGCCGGGGCCGCGATAAGAAGCAGCTGTAACGGAGAAACGGGCGAATCGAAAATTAGTCGTGAAAGTTAATTAAATAACGACTGTTAAGTTGATTACGTTTAAAACTGTCTCCTTAATATTTTCTCACATTTTTCATCGTTTATTTTTCATTCTTCAACTAGACGAGAATCGTATTTTATATAAAAAAAAAAAAAATAATAAAATAAGTTCTCACATGTATATTAGTTCTATTAATTGTACGATAAAGTATAATCTATTTTTGTTCCTCTATAATGTTGAATAAGCTGTTAAGAGATGATAATTCTTAACTGCGAGAGTGATTAAACGATCTAAGTTATTCAGATGCGATCTCGTTGTGCTCAACTTTAGCGGAAGCGCTGCATTTGAATTTGAACCAAGACTTTATGCTTTCTTCGCGTGTTTCGTGTACAATATACCGCAAAGCCGCTTCGCACTTTGCGAAGCTCCGTAATCGCGTTGGCTCGAGAACGTTCGAACCGCTCCGCGAATTACCGGCATTGTGACTACGACGCGAATGAGAAAACTTTTCTAGCACGAAGTTTTATGTACTTAAAGAAAAGAAACTCCAGTGTACGTTATAATAACGCTCGTCTTATCCCCGCCAATTGCGAGGCGAAAATGTCAGCGGCATATCTGAAGAGAAAATGTGCATCTGCAAAAGTAGCGGAAATCATGAACATAAATACGTTCGCCGCAGAGAGCTCGCCTTCGAGCATATTTTAATCGATAACGCTGGTGAAACGCTCCATAGGCGGTCAGCAGCATGCGCAGATCCGACGAACTTCTCTTTGCATTTGTCTTATTTCGCAAATAAGATAAGCAAGCGAGCTACTAAAATGCAGTAACGCGATTAAAATGAACGAATAAATAAAATAACGCAAATACGTGTTTATTTACAATCTACTTTGTGTTATTTCTAATACATCTAGAATGGAAGTTCTTAAATTATTCTGACTCTAAATTATTATTCATAATATTTAATACAAAATTTAATTTTCAATATCGATTCAATTTCAATATCGACACATCTAAATTTCAATTTTTTATAATAAAAATACTTTGAATATAGCAATGTCGATAAATTCCAAAAAATATACATTTTTTTAATATTATATATACCTAATAAATATGTTATAAATACTATGCCTCCTAGTATACGAAATTAATTTATTTTTTCCTTTCTTTAGTGTTTATTATCGTTGTAAAAATAAAAGTATTTTATTCTGCAACAAGGTTTGTAGTAACACGAAACCATAAAACGTAAAATGTATAAATAAAAGTGATATAGGTATAAAATAGAGTTAAAAAATATAAAAGACTATAAAAAAATATAAAAACTTATAAATCTCAAATAAATTATAACCTAAAAATTTTAAGAAAATGCGAATAGTAAATAAATTAATAATAACGTTCACAAAAAAATTCAGTGTTTTATATTCAAAATAATGTATCTATTAAACCCGTTTCATCTGTACAATAAAAAAAAAAACAAAATCCTCGTTTCACTTGACTCTATCAAAGGGGACTTGACTCGGCGCAATAAACGTAACAAAGACATTAACGCGAGGCACGAGTAACCGGTAAAGACGGAGCGATATCTGGAGCGTTCAAGAGGAAGAGAGAAATATAGAAACAACGAAAGGGAAATGGGCTATTGGACCGGTCTTGGCACGGCGACGGCAAGAAAAAAGGAAGACGAGAAGAGAGGACAGACCGGTTCTGATAAATCGGTTGGTAACAACTCTCGGCACCTCGTATGTGAAGAAACGTGGCCGCGAGAAGTGACGGCGGGAGATGTGACGGGCCAGCTGTTGCTTGGTGGAACAGTCTGGGCCCTCTTCTACTTTTCTTTTTCTTTTTCTGCCTCTTCTTCCTCGCGATACGAAAGCCGTATCTATCTCCGCGGGGTCAGCGCCCCGGCGAACAAACTATAGCGCCTCGCAAATTAATTCAACACGAGAAAGAACGAGAAATTAGTTTCTCACACCTTTAGAGAAGTCGCGAAAGTCTTCCGCTATTAATACATTAATATTGATTAATGTTAAAATTCACTTTTTAAATTCCGCTACGTCTGATGAGATCAATCGGCAAGGCATTTCTGAATAATACCTATACGTATTATCGAATGCTTTTATAAGATCAATATAATAATATAAAATATAAAATTAATATTAAGATTAAAATTTGAAATGTACAAAATACAGATGTAGGTATAAACTGAAAGCCATCCAGAGCCGCAAGGCAATGATTAAGAATGAAATGAATAATAAATAATAATATTAAGATTAAAATACTTATATTTGCGAGAGACTTTCAAGCTTAACGTAAACAATGACATTAATATTCACGAGTATAATAAAATCAGAGCAAACTCAGTTGCGACGTAAATTTACTTAAATGCATTGCATACTGCTCGCCAAATTTACAATATTTGCGCATTGCTTGCACTACTACTGCTTCAGCTTACTGAATATGGCTTCCTTCTCTATATAATTAATCCGCTTATAGAATGTCATTGGAGGCTTCAGTCCGATTAGTATGTAAAGACGAATATACTGACTTGAGACATATCTCTCTTCGTTACGTCCACTGTCGACAACGTTAATGTTAATAATCGCGTATATCGTTGTTCAAAATATATTTCTCTTTTATATTATTCGTTCATCATTATATCATAAATAAATAAAAGATTTTCAGAGTCTTACGGAAAGATCTTTATTTTCGATTGTATAAGATTATTTAATTTTAAAAATATTTTAATAATCAAAATAAAATTAGCGCAAAAAAGTTTATTTTTTTCATGTAATTACAGGCATACGTAATTTATCTTACTAAAAAAATTAAAATAAAATTTCTGTATAAAAACAATATTGATAGGTATTATAAAAAAATATGTAATATATTAATAGAGTTTCTAATTAATTCCTCGTTTAATCTGTCCGTAATTAACAGGAAAGGCAATATAACATTCTCTATATGGATATTATAAAACGAATAATAAATACGGTCATTAACGCTGAAAGAAAACAATAAGATCCAGAAGACACACTTTCTCGATAAGCGATAATGAATAATCATGATGTCTCATAACAAAATAAATACTGATTCTCCTTTCTAAGTGACCCACATGCGATTACAGAGTCTTATATGCTTTCTCCGAAATGGAAAGCTTGAGATTATTCTCATCCGCTAAATCACGCCGTGACGCGTGCTCGATATCTCTATAGATACGAACGCGCGGACAAATACAAGTCAAACTAGAAGAAAAAGTCTGAAAATGATTGATCGTCTGTGCGCGGCGCCGACTGACATTGCGAAAAATTATGTATTATCGAAGTCATAAATTAGGTTAAAATCAAAACGATATATTCCGCGATATTCATTCGTTATAGTCGAAACTACTATCAATTCTCAGCTGGATTGTCAGAACTACGCCGCTGCGAATTTTGCAGGTCGATCATGAGATGCAAATGCGAATGCAAACGACGCGTTACGAGATAACGGGAAAAAAAAAACGAAAAATTAAGAGATCGATGAATATTCAACAATTCAAGAGTCGCGCCCTGTGCAACTATTGTCCGGCCACACTGTGTGCTTTTGCAATATCGTAATTTATACGAGCGCACCTCTAATTGCACCGCAAAATTATGAGACGCAGTTAAAACGGGATTTCCCTGTGCAGCGGAAAATCTTGCAAAAATATTTGCGAGAATAATAAATCGCATTTATCATTTTGTTTGTCACTTTTATAACTTTATCTCCTGACGAATTTGTGACATTTATATTGTATTTTTAATCGTCCGTATGTCCGTTCGATATGAAATTTTATTTATCTACAGTATAAAACAAGCGTAAATCCAAGCGTGAAATAAAAGTTGCATTTTCGCGTTGAATATGTTGAATCAAGGATGCGGTCTGCGATTTTAGAAAAAACCTGTGTAACGGGATCCACAAAGGCATGTGATATGTTTTGTAGAGAAACGTTACGAGATACTCGAGGAGTCGCTTTGACACAGAATACAGCTTAAAAAAAAAAAAAAAACACAATGTTCGTAACAATTCTGAAGATGCTCTTTGTAACATCATCAGAATATCAGTTTCGCGATAAATCCAACTTTTTTATCCGCACTCTTTACGTTTGTATATTTATAATGTAACGCATATTACTCTGCGACTAAAGAAGACAGACGTAATTTTAAATAAATAAAGCAGACAGACGTATTCACGTATATATATACGAACCAGTGAGTACGGCGCCGACGAGCATGAAGAGAGTGCCAAACGCCGGAAGGGCGATCTGGCAGTTCGCCGCTATTACCACGCCGGCCACCATCAGGCCGCCCTCGATCTTCTCCACCCTCAACCGCGATATGGGGGTCGGGCATTTCAATTTCGCGCCCAAGCCACCACTCAGCATTCCCTCCTCGGCTGCCATGCTGCCGGTCCTGCAACAACGAGTAAGACTAATTACGACAGCTGTAATAAAGACTCCCCGGTGAAAATTGCGTGGATGAGTGATCATCCACTAAATGGGGTGGGACATTCATTCTTCATGAAATTTTAAGTGAGGTCGTATTCGGGTAACAATTATATAATGAAAGAGCTAATGATAACGACGCATTAGTAATATAATTTTATTGCGAGTAATGTGATTTATAATGTAAATCGGATTTTATCGCGAAATTTCGACAGCAATGCTTTGCAAATCGAGAAAAAGCTGAGATAAGAGATAAAGAGTTGAACTCGGTCGAGAGGCATCTATCGCATTTAAAGCAAGGACATCTCTAAATCACCGAGCCTCTCCAAATGTTAATCATCGTTAATGATTACTAAATGTAATTATCTTTGTAATGATATACTAAATAAAAAATTATTTTTTTCCAAAAATTAATGTTTAGTTTTTTCGTATGCAGTCTTGGTTTGTAAAAATTCGCATTAAAAAAATAAAAAAAAAATCGGGCTCAGCCGGGATTTGAACCCGGGACCTCTCGCACCCAAAGCGAGAATCATACCCCTAGACCACTGAGCCGTCCGTTCATTCCTTCTCATGCAAAACTCTTGAGTATATACTGCAATTATTAATTTCCACTAACAATTAAAATATGCCTCTAATAAATACAATTCTATTTATTAAAATCTAGACAAGAATGTAATTGCAATTAAAAAATATAATTTTTTATTAGTAATTTATAATATTAATGCTATAAATTAATAATTTTTTATTACAAATTTTACAATTTTATTATAAATTAATATTATAAATTAATAATTTAATTAATATAATTTTATAATATATTATTTAATATTAATTATTTTATAATATTTTTATATATTACAGATCTTTATATACTTAAAAAATTATCTAAATTTTAAAAAATTTTTTTAAAATAAAAATTATATATAAAATGTTATAAATAAAACAAAATAAACTCCGTTTTAAATATGACTTTATACATGAAGTAGATTTATACGATAGATCTCTCGCTCTCTAAACGTCTCATACATCATTCTCCTGCCGACCGACGATCAAACTTAGACATCTTATTCACGCTTCAAAGCTCCATAAGGAAGAATAGCTTCCTCGTAGACACGTCCGACCTTTTCAACTATGATAAACGATTAGAGCATAAAATTGCACGAAAGTTCGTTCCTAGCAAATTGTAACGTTTACGCGACGGACTAATTGAATCAATCAGCCACCATCATGGGCAGTTATTAATTCGACATGGAAGCCGAGACTCGATAACGTATCTCCACAGGGACAGGATAATTAACGCGAATGCCCTTTGCCGATCGCTGATCTGACAAATAGCACAGGTTCCGTCCGAGTGATGAAATGATCATTCTACTAGACCGCGCCACTACCGCAGTATTAATAATCTTAATTTATTGATCCGCCTACTCTTGCGCGTGCATAATGCATCATCAGTTAATAGGGAATTTGCAAAACAGTCGTCCAGAACCGAGAAACAAAACAATTTTGTTCATTTAGCTTCAATATGCCGAAAAAATTGCAGAGAAAATACAACTAACCGAGTCTGCGAGAGATTAATTAAAGGGACGTGAGATGAACGACAAAGGGAATTAGTTTGGAATATTGTAACAACACACGTGTGGCATTTACGTGGCCAGCCGCGGTACAGCATTGTCTTTAATATGCAACAGATGTATTCGTTGGGAACAATTACATACATACATACATCCATACATAAAAACGCGTAATCCTATGGTCCTATAGTATTTTCGATGAATAACTTTCAACGATAAACAATGCGGAATAATGTACATCGGCGATAGCTCGTTACTGTGGCTGATAGATAATCTCCTGTAGTTATAATAGACGCCAAACTGCGGCATTCGCAGTGAATAGCGCGGATAACGTACACAAAACTTTAATGATAAAAACTGCTTCGACAACGAGAGCAACGGTGATGCAATGCGTTAAACGTATGACATAATTTTCCATTCGTATAAATGTATTTCTTTGCACGTGCACTTTCTATTTACGCGCATTTATGTGCATATCCTTTTGAAACGTATTTCCAATTAACAAGCGAGAGTTCTATCAAGTTTTCTCGAAAAGTGATGTTTATTTCTTTCTGTTCTTCTAATTGAAATTTCTTCATTTCAAGTAGATTTTCAAATAGAGATCATAATTCATCTTTGCACAAACACTTATTCTTGAAATAGTCCTTTTTCTCTGCTCTCTAGTTTCTACAGCTTCGTAAAATGGTAGATTAATTGGCGTTAATTCCATTAGTCTCGAATTAACGTCAATTAATCCGAATCATTTCGAGTTACGAAGAAAATTGTATAGCTTTTTGTTGTGAATTAACCATCGAACGATAAACTCAATCACTCACGATTAATTCTCTTTCTTAAAAAACAGCCAAAAACAGCACGACAAAACAGTCTCAATAATCTCTACGTATTGACATCATATCTGAATAAATTGTACAACTCCAGACAAATTGTATCGACGTTCGCACAACGGACGCTTCAACCGCTAAAAAATTACTGGCACTGGCATGCCCGACGATTTTGCTGAATTTTTTTTTTGCAGTAACTTCAATGCGATAACAGCTGATAAAATGGCAAATTTTTGTCATTTTTATTTCGTATGAGAATATGCAAACAGCGATAGAAGATAGAAGATACAATGCCTGCAGCATGATGTATTCCTAAATTTATAAACATGCAATAAATAGCGTAAAAAACACCGTATAAATGGCTTATTTACATGGTATTGTTTTGCGTTGTCATTTGTCGCGACAGCAAAAACTCGAACGAGTCAATTTTACTTGTGATATACGGCATTTTTGATAGAACCAAATAAAATTGTCATTAAAAAATCTGATTATTAATGGAACGTATATAAATTAAAATCAAAAGTGTTCTTAAAAGTTTTTAGTAAGAGAATAATTTTCCATGCCGAAAAGCGATAGCGTCTCTTGTTCGGTGCGTTTCGATTCACTTTCCAGCAACGTCGCAGCTTATGCTAATAACACTCGTACTTCTGTCGGTCAAAGTTTACGAGAATTACATGAGAAAATGCTTAGCGCCGCGCTATCTAATGTATAAAATTCAAGTTTTATCTCCCGACAGTCAAAGGTTTTTGCGACTCTCGTTCCCGATAATAATAAATAATACATATATTGCATGGATAATACATGCATTTTATCGCATAATCGCCGAAGAATAGAAACACTAAAATATTTTTTCAGATTCTAAATTGTGTAAGACATATTTCTTGCTATTACAAGACTACTCAAGACATATCTTGAGTAGTATATTATAATAAAATATTTTATTTTATTCATATTTATTAAGTTTTTACATAACTTTCGTAAAACATTATTTTAACAGGATATTAATTAAGCTTTAATTAACTCTAATTGAATCGTTAAAGCAATAAATGTTTGAAAATAATTTCTAACATTTATTATAAATGACTTAAAAGTTATATATATTTCGTTTGCCAAGCTCATAATTTTCTAGTTCACGTACGATATTAGAAAACATGCTAGACATTTAGTCACGTTATTTTTAGATTTATTAGCCATGTAATTGTTACTTAGTCATAATTCCTAATTGTATTCAAGCTAATAAAATTTGGCACGTACGTGAGTCGTCTGAATAGAAATGACCAATAGACGTATTTACTGCGACTCTGATCGCTCAAGTTACCTATTTTAGGTATTTGACGCTCTGTCTTGCACGTACACGATCACCACAATGATTTAGCGGATGGCACAGAGGACATGTAACGATCAACATGACCTTATTCCGAAGATGTCGGCGAGATAACCCGTATAGCCGGGCGAATCTTGACTCGCCTCGCCCTCTGCCCCATTTACCCGGATGTTTCAGGTCATCGAGATCGGAGGGGAATAGTAACGGAGGTGGGGATAACAATTGAAGCAACAAGAATGAGTGCCACTTAATTCTCATTCAACTGATTATAAATAGGTGCCCACCACGCGTATGCTACGTAGCTTAATGCCACGTTTAAAATTTAAAAATCGATGTTCGAAAGGTTATAAATTAAGTGCCCATTTTACGAATGTGGAAACATTAGAACGGTTACTATTTCTTAATAATCCTGCGTGTGTTTATGTGTGTGTGACGGACTATCTTTATTTTATCAAGATCATTAATAATAACACAATATTAATCTTAAAATAATTACTGACCGTACTTCAATGATGTGTTTACGATAGCATGGCTTTAATTCATTTAAAAAAAGACGCAATTTCCTAAAATCTATTTAGAAAATTTTGTATTGGTATATCGCATTTAAACTTGGAAAATATAATCGTATATTTCCTCAATAAGAATGGTAATACTTATTCTTTTTTATTTTTCTTATAATAATTTTTATATACTGCGCGTTATCATGATATAGTCAGTTGTTAACAAAGTAACTACTTTCAGTAGGAAGATGAAACATAGCACATGAACGTTATAAGCCTTACGTAAGATGTACAATACGGTGCATTTTAATGATGATAAATCTCTCATATTTTCGCGTGAACAAAACTCGGCATTATTTACGAAAGACGGCAACGACATATGCACACATTTGCATGCTTGCCTTAACTTATCACAGATACGAACATCTCTTATGCAATTGCCATAAATCACACTCATATATTTCGGCGATGTCGTCACTTCCTGAATTCTTCGTGCGAAACTCAGAAAACAAAAGATAAATATTCATTTCGACTAGTTTTTACTGAGCGTATTTTATATACTGAGAGGTAATGTAACGATATCGGTGCAAAAATATTACATAAAGCAACGCACGACGCATAACTTAATTAATCTAATAATAAAATACATCCGGTTAAGTTACATCACCTAATTACAAGTTGGAGATTACATCGTGTAATAAATTCGGGATGCTAACTTCCTCTAGATTATACAAGTTGTTCCAATATTGCTA